TGCTAGGCACTCTGACAGGCCCTGGGCAGGTACAGTGGAGTTTCAACTAAAGCCAGCAAAAACTGTGAAGTGTGAAAATCCTGTATGTCATCCATAAAGCACAGTATGTATGGTTTGTGCCAATTTGTAATTCCTTTCCTCAATGAAACTGAGCTGTATCAAGAGGAAGCATGCAATAATGGAATATATGCAAGTGTCTGACTACTTAGAGCATCCAAACTTTCAGGAAGTTATCAAACCTCTAGCTTTGAACCCGAAGTATGGGTAAAGCATTTTAAATGTTCTTTCTTGCCCACAGCAATTATTCCATTGAAATCTCAATAATATTAATGCATGTTAATACATTTATTTTGTTTTGATTTTGAAGTTTAAACATTGTCGTAGTATCCTATTTGGGAGGGGCAGTTCAAGTTTAGTCATTGGGATGAAAACGCTTATCCTGGACTCTACCTTGAAGGTATTTATTATTGCACATGAATTTATGGTTAGGTAGGTAATGTTTATAGTTTCAGTTAGGATATATTGTATGATTGAAATTGACTGTGGGTCAGGAAGGCAACTGTGTGGCTCTTCACTGGGTGCTCTCACATAGTTGAGGTCACGTGGTCTAAGACGGCCTCATCTGGAAAACCTGGCAGCACTCATCCTTCACAAGGTGATGACAGGGTTCTAAGACAGACAGACTAGGAAAAAAGTCTTCATTTCCACCAAGTTCTATTGACCAAAGCAGTCACATGGCTAGTGCCGCATGAGAGTGGAAGGGAACTATTAAGTTACAAAGCAAAGGGGTCATCAATGGAAATCATCAGAGCCAAAGCAAAGGATCTGCCTCACCCCTAAACAGGCAAGCACCATAGACTCTGTACTATCATGGGCACATGTACCAAGGTTTCCCAATGTATGGAGGCAAAGGACCCCTTAAATTTTCTTAGAGCAGAGACAGTGGCAACTGGACTGTCTCCTTTACAAAGAATACAATTTTTTCTTCTCAGTTACTGCACGCTCCTTTCACAAGCTGCAGAGCTACAGTGGTTTGTATTTTTTTCTTTTTTTGTTTTCATACATTTAATCTCCTTGCCTTGAAGGCCTGGACAATATGTGTGCCTAATATAACAAGCCACCATAAATATATAGTCCTGTAGCCTACGGAAAAAACATAAGCCAAGGAAATGCAAGTGGAGGAGATTAACCTTGAAGCTGAAACCCAAGGCTTCTTGTGCTTGTGCTCTCCTCTGAAATTCTGCGATGCCACACACGTTCTCAAAGGAACATCTTGTGTTAGCTGCCAAGAGGCCTGAGAGACAAAGTACTGCACGTTTAGGTATAATGTAAATGGGCAACGTGGGGGAACAAAAAGCTTTTTTGAAAATAAGACAATGTCTTTTTATAGACCTCAATGCCTGTGTGAAAGCATTTGGAAATTTCCATACTCTTCAAGAAAGAAGAATATCAACTGAGTGAAAAAAGGTAATTATACAGACATGGGCGTAAGTTTGAGATACTGAGGTAGGGTGATCTAGGGCTAACGAGAACTGTCCCAATCCAGCCATAGAAAGAGGCTCAAGTGAGAACTGGTATTGTCATTTCATGGGAAGTCCCGCAGGGGCTTCCTGAAGGGCCAGACAACAGAAACCCAGGCATCACCTTGGGGACTTCCACAGTACCCAGCAGAGCTGTACCTTGTTACTCAAGCACTTTTCTGATCCTGGAGGTAAATTTTACCTTGTAAAACTTCCTACTCCACTGCTCCTATGCCGATAAATTTTAAGACATAATACCATGTAACCTAGCCACTTACTTGCTGAGGATCCAAGCAATATAAATACCCCTTGATTAAACCACATAAAACAATAAACCAAAAAGCATTTCTTCCAGTCTTCAATGTTTGTATTCAAAGTTTGTTCTCTCCTAAATTCTGGTGGTATCTTCCAAATATTTTGCCCAAATTTGTCAACAAAATTTCTATTGGCCTATTTTTGAAAAAATAATTAAATTTGCCTGAATTTGGCAATAAGTTTTTATTGACTTTTCTTGCCCACAAATAGAATATTTTCTCTTAATTATTATGTTGCAATAGGTAGTCTATGCTTGTAATACACAACTTCAAATGTTTGCATGTAGAAATTATATAAAAGAAAGTCTCTTCCATTCCACCCTATTCCTTAACTCCTTAGAATTCCTACCCAGAAGGAGCAACTGTTATCAGTTTTGCTCTTCTCTGAGAACAATTCTATGAATATTCAATCAAATGATTTTTACAAACTCCATTTTATACAAATAACGTACCATTTACATAGAACTGTGCTTTGCTTTTTTCACTTAAAATGATCTTGGAGATCATTATGATCTCATTACCTATAGAGTGTCTCATTCATTTTAATAGCTACCTAATAATATACTTTACGGATGCATTATAGTTTATTTTATTGTATCACTCAATATAGGGATATAATTAGGTTGGAAAAAAAACAGATTAAATTAGTAAGAGTCAAAGGTCATGATGATGAGTTTCTCTTTGAACACAATCTTGGATTAGCATCTCCTACAGACTGACCAAGGCCTACTCTTCTGAAGCTAGATGGAAGTTCCTAATGAAATTTATGATTGATCTGAGGTAAACCAAACATAGCTTCATCCTTGGTCTCCTGCAAACATGTTTTTTTACTTTCTCACCTTCTCATATTTCCTCCTGCCCTTTACTGGAAACCCATGCCTTCTTAATTTTCACCAGTTGTCAGTATTCTTCCTATTAAAATTCCACTGTCAAATTCATTTCCTTCTCTAAGACTTCCACTATGGCCTCCATCACCATAGAGCAGGATGTGATTTTTTTCTCCTTCAATTTACTTGAGAAACATTTGTAACTCCGTGTCATCTTGAATTATGGTTATGGAAGTGTTAGTGCGTGCTCCATCTCCTTTGCCAGACTGCTTGCCCATTGAGGGTGGTAATGTACAAAACATAGGGCTGTCCTTCACAGGACTATTAGAGCCTTCTGTATATTTTGACTTAATAAATATGTGCTGAATAAATATATATCCTCTGGGTGTGATTCTATTGGATTCTGCTGAATTAGAATAGGGCACTGAATTAGCAGTTAGTAGCTGTGAGCCCTCCTCCTGCCTCTGAAGTTGCTATCAGGTAGTTATTGGATGAAGTATATAAACTCTTAAAACATTTGTATTTTAAAAATGGAATAAAATATCTGGACTATCTAGATCACAGCTTGTTGTGAGAATCAAATGAAATAGTGGTTTTATAAGAAAAATCTCAGCATTAGGAAAAAAAATCAAAGGTCTCCTAGTCCAATGACCTATCCATTGATCAAAATCTCTATATATCAACATCTTTGTATGTAAACCATAAACTTATGTATGAAAATTTCCAGAGGCATAGAAGTATCAATCCAGTATAGAAGGCCATTTTATGTTTGTGCAGCTCTGAATATTGTTAAGAGTGGCCATACAGTGAAATCCATGTTATGTCACTTGATAATGAAAAGTCTGCTATATCTAATTGGTGACAGGCTCCCAATCTCTGAAGTAGTCTTACTCTGGCCATTTCATTAATTTCCCAATAACTCAATCCCACTTTTACAAGATTAGATTGTTTGGAACACAGTGACAGTATTATTGCAGAATTTAAAAATCTCAACTGAGATTTGAACCTCACGAACATTCGAATCTCAGCTCTTTCACTTAATTCTTGATATTAGGCATGTGGCTTACATTTTCTATGCTTCAGTTCCCTCATTTGTAAAGTGGGGATCAAAACATAATCTACCTCATAGGTTTGTTTGTTTGAGTACTATCAATAAATATCTTTATAGAATATATATATGAAAAAAACCTTTTCATAGTGCCTCAGTAGTTGATAGCTATAATTAACTTTCAATGTTATTCTCAGGTCTATTGATCCAACTGAAATGACTTTGTATAATGTAACAATGTGTCCATATTGGCTATACTGGATGAAATATACTTACACAAGAGATTAAATGATATGAATATATTATTATTTGATTTTATTTTAAGAAATAAAAAAATTTAAAAAACAGAAAAAAAATTAATTAATTAAAAAAATAAAGTAAAAATCTCAACTAATCCTAACAATGATCTAATGAGCTATACAAAGTCTTGTGTGCCTTCTTTGGTATACTGTAGTGTTTAGCATAGGCAGTACGCTGTCCTAGAAAGAGTGCTACATAATGAGTAAGCCTCACAATTTGGGTATCTTAACCTCTGTAGGTCAAATCAAACCTATTCCAAACAGCGCTGGTTGAGAACTAACAAATAATGTATACAAACGCATTTGAAAAGCACCATCAACAATAATCAGGGCTGATATTATTATTATCTGGTATAGAACCTGTCATATTTTCCTTCCTCACTATGATTTCCACATAAAGAAGCAATAAATTTCAAAGCAAACTAATGCTGAATTATTAAAACTTATACTTCCTGAGAATGTCCTATACAAGGATAGAACTAATTCATACACACCTCCATTTCAGATTTAACGAAACACTCTACTGAAAAATAGTTGTAAGACTAAACCGTTTGGTAATTTTCTATTACAACATACCTGGGCCAGAACTGGCTGCCTGCAGGCCTTATGTGTATGTATGTGTACCTCCCTTTAACTATCAGAAACTCTCAGGTACTCAGAGCAAACTTACAGTGTTAAAACGTAAGGAGTTCAAAGAAGATCTAGAAATCTTAAAAATCCCTATTATCGTTATAGAAGATGTACAAATAATGTAATACGTAAACCAAAAAAAAGTATCCATTTTGCCAACTGATGGTCACATAATCACTCGTATTAGCTTATATCTACATTGCTCTAGACATCTGCCATCCCGTCCCTTCCTATATAAGTGGTATAACTGAGCCACTCAAAAAATCTCAAATAATTAGGACAATTTTAGCCCTCCAAAACTTGAAAGTTTAACTGGGAAGCTATCAGGTGCACAAGACATACTCGGTGTAAAGAACACTTACCTTCTGTGTGCACCGCTGACACATAGGTCCAGTTGTACCTCTTCACTATGTCCACCATGGCCCGTGCCTGCTGGGCATCTGAAGGCACGACCCTCATGAAGTACTTGAACAGAGTTTTGTCGCTCAGATCCATGCTTGTTGCCGAGTAAGCAATTTGAGGTATGTTGAAAAGCTGGAGCAAGTTCTGGACCTGAATGGCCACAGAACTGGAGCCAGGCCCGATGACCCCGACTATGGGCTTCTTAGAGCGGAAGGAAGAGGAAGAGCCATCCACACAGCGCACCAAGCCTTCTTCTTCTTCTGAAGAAATGAGGGAGTCCCTTATAAACTCAATGCTCTGCTCTAGGGCCACGGCCGAATGCCAGCAGGAGTCCCTGATCTCGCAGCCCAGGGTGATGTTGGGCAAGAGCGTGGGGTCTGAGTTGATCCTTTCCAGGGTGTGCAGCATGGCCTCCACCCTCTGAATGCCATACTGTTCACGAACTGCCCCACACTTCCGCTCATGAACTTTGTCCACAGTGGGCTGGTGGTGGACAGAAAAGAGAGCCCCGATAATGATGTCACCAGGCATGTGAGCCACCACCCTCCTCTCACTGGACTGTGCGCTCCCACGGACATCTTCTTTCAAAAGCAGGACTGACAGGATCAACAGAAGGACCATTTTAGGAAAGGAGTTCAAGCTAATAAAGACAGCATGGTGGGGAAAATTTAGGCGAGTTCTGAGAGAGAGAATCCGGTGATGTCCTATGGTGAGCCGCAAACCAAAAAAATCAGCCAGTGATTTAGATGTGCTCTCTAAAGGACCACCATGTCCCCAGGGACCATTTAGTTAGACGCATCCATATGTGATCACGATCTTCAAAACCTGGGGAAAAAAAATAGAATGGGGATTTAACAACGTTAAGTGCAACCGGTTTGGGAAGCTCGAACGGTCTACGCTAATAGAGAAAGAGAGGTCTTTCTGATGTAGGTAACTTGAGAAAAAGAATCCAAAAATCTTTCTGACTCTTCTTTGCCTGTCTCCTTTGTGATTCTGTGATTTGATAAAAGCAGCTGATACAGCTTCTTGATCCTACCTGGCTTAGGTTAATATTTTTTTCATTTGCTCATCTGGAGTACACAAAACCAAATCTCATGTGTGGGAGGCCCAACTATACTCTGACACGAAGGTGAGGGAAAGCACCTAAAAGAAGTAGGCCATGAACAGAAATCTTCAAAAAAACCCAAAATATTGGACGTTGGTGATCCCAATAATAACGACAGTATTTTTGTGTGTTTGTTTTAGAAATGCTCTTTGTGTCCTTCCAAATTTTCAGCATTAAGCATGTACTGATTATGCAATTAAAAACTAAAGTTACTTTAAAAAAAGGCTACAAACCCCATCTTCAAATGCAATGTAAAGCAAGTTGAATAACATTCCCAACAAGTATTGAGCTCAGTTTCCATACAATATAGACCAAAGACAAATGAGGTCAGATCAGTATTTTCACGTTAAATGAACTATAGGATAGAAGAGGGTTGGAAGATTACAAAGTAAAATGCCCCCAAATACAAAGGCATAGTGCAATGGTACCAATTTTTGCAGAAAAGAATATTCAGGTTCAAATTCCAGTTCTGCTACAAAGAGCTATTACTAAATTGTTTAACCTCTCAGCACCAGAATTTTGTCATCTGAAAAATGGGGATCATATGTGCTAGGCTGCCCTTATGGGAATCAATATAAGATACCAACTGTGCAAATGTTTTGTATATTGAAAACGGCTATATACATTCAAGACATGATTTTTTTCTGTTATTAAATTTCCAAGGGCCTTCCGTGGCTAGGTGGTGAGGACAGAAAATTCTCTGGCAACACACTCAGTTCTCCAGAGTCTTCAAAGTAATTACAGAGTCTTGTAATAAAATTGACAGTAATCAGTCCTTTACCCCGATTCAGGAAAAATTTCCACATCATGAAGATTCAAAGGGCTGGAGGGATGCATATTTGGAACTATACTTCCAAGTAGAAACTTAGTATAGCTATGAATATAGTCATCTATTTCAGTTTAAACTCCTGGGTAAGAAGAAAATTTTGTCCCAGGTTGCCTACAGCAAATTCTAGCATGATTTGTAAAAGAGAACTGACAAATTAGTGATCTGGGTTATTTAAAGGATTGTTTAAGAGACTTATTTTGTAAGTTATTAGCTCTGCCAGCCAAAGATCTCAAGTTGTTTTAAAGTGACTCCCTAAGCATCACCTTTCAAAGACAGGTGATGTTGCTTCAGGAGTTTATGCAATTATGATGTTTCTTCAAGAATACCAATGGTTTTCAAGACTCATCAGATCTGCAAAAATTCTAGTCCAGACACATAATGAATATAACCTGAATCACATTTCTAATCACTCTCACCCTCATTTTCACCATTTCCTTCCACTATTTCCAATGGCAACAGAGAAATGTTCCCTCTGTACAGTGCCAAACACTAAAACACACACACGCATGCGCGCGCACACACACACACACACACACACACACACACACGCCTCATCAAATAGCTACATGCTCCAGAGTAACTAGATTTTTAGCAATATTTAGAGGAAAAATCAGCTTTGGTATGGAAGTTGGCATTGTAGACAAGGGGGAAGGAAACAAAGACATATTAATCGTTGGGAAATTATCTGAATATTCTCAAGCTTTCCCTTCACTTTACTTAGACCAAAGACTTGGGGACCAATGCTTATTATCATGGTCATGTGAATTCTACTTCAGACAAAAAAAAATTTCTCATTAAATTTCTCATTAAATCCAGAATGTTAGTAAGCAAATCCAGTAACAAAACAGGACTCATTTTTATTATGTAAGAGCATCAGAGCGACATGAGAGACTAGAAGTGGCCTATCAAACTGATGAACCTAAAATATCGATCTCATGCATTTTATGTTAGAGTTATTTCCAGCAAGCCCCATGTATTGAGAATATATATTGATACACACACACACACACACACACACACACACACATATATATATATATGTAACTTCCTATGATAGGCTAAATTAATTACTTAACTCATTCAACAAATATCTATTAACTACAGAGTGGCAAAGACTAATATAACAAAGAAGTACAGTGGTACATTGATAATTACCATCATTATCTTTCATTGAGCACCCATCACACACCAGGCGTTTATTCACTAACTCATTAATCATATATTTATGGCCTGCCTATGCTATGACTCTCTCCTGGGAATCATATATTCAAGAGAAAACAGGGTGTACTGCTCCCTATACTCATGGGGCTTACAAATCAGTACTCTAAAACAGCGGTCCCCAGCCTTTTTGGTACCAGAGACCGGTTTCCTGGAAGACAATTTTTCCACGGAAGTGGGGGGGGGGGGATGGGTGGGGATGATGATTCAGGCGGTAACGCAAACAACGGAGAGCAATGGGGAGCGGCAATGAAGTTGCACTTGCACGCCACTCACCTCTTGCCATGAGGCCTGGTTCCTAACAGGACGGTCTGGTACCAGTCCAAGGCCCAGGGGTTGGGGATCCCTGCTCTAAAAGGTGACTTGAACTGGAACCTGACGAATGCAAAGAACAATAAAATGAAGAATGAAGTCAGTCATGTGAAAAGTGTGGCTAGAGCATAAATAATGAGTGCAATTATGGTACAAAATGAGGTTGGAAAGATACGGAACGGCCAGACCATGTAGGATCTTGTAGGCTCTTAAGGAATTTGGAGCTTAAGTGAAACAGAAAGCCACTGAGGAAGTGTAAACAAATGACTGGCACAATCCAATCTTAGAAAAGATTCTCCTAGCTCCTCATTGTTCCGGATAATGGACTTGAGAAATCTGAGACTCTTATAATACTCTAGGTAAGGGATGATAGTGGCTTGGCTATGATTGGTGACAGTGGATATGGAGAGAAGTGGACATAGATATCTTTTGCAAGTAGAATCAACTGGACTTGCTGACAGACTGGATGTGGGTAAGGTAGAGAGGAATCAGCGTCTACTCCTAGGTTTTGAGTCTAAGAAACTAGTATATTCTGGTATCATTAAAAGGGATGGGACTGACTGGAACAGAAACAGATGGGCTCAAGGGAAAACAATGATTTTCTTTTGAACATGTTAAATTTGAGATGCTTTGGAAGCACCCAGGTATAGCTGTCAAAGAGGAAGGAAGATATGTAAGCGTGGACCGAGAGGAGTTTTTTGGCTTAAAGATGTAAACAGGGGGTCACCAATATATAAACCCTTTGAAATGAATAAAATTACCTAGAGAGCAAGTATAAATAAAGAAAAGGTGGGGCTGAAAAGTAGGCCCCACAGAGAGGTAAGGCTGTGGGAAAGCCAGCTAAGGAAACAGAGGCAGCTCAGAAAGTAAGGAGAGAAATCAAGAACATGTGATATCAGAGATGCCAAAAGAGAATGTCCTGGGCACTTTATAGTTGCAGACATATGCAAGGCTTTCATGCTTCTCGTTCCCCCAGAAGATATTATATTCTGTGTGCATTGTGTATCTGCGTCTGTATGTGGGTATGTCTGTATGTGTGGTATGTGTGTGTCAATAATCCTTATAACAACCCTGAGATGTAGGTATTATTTTATTCTATTTTCCTAATGATGTAATGGGTTTTAATAACTTAAAAACAAGCCAATCATGGAATGATGGAGCTAGAATTCATGTCTATGCCTAGTGACTCCATAACATACTCTTATTATCATCTTTTGTCACCTTACCACCCCTTCCGCCAAGAGAGGTATTTCCAAAGTCCATGAAAACTGAGAGGGGCCACCCAAACACAGTTTGAACTTCCAAGGGAGCTAGAATCTAACAGGAGTTTGCTTAAAAAATAGAGAGTGATGAACATTTCAGGAAAAGAGATGATTCATACCTAGAAGGTACAAATGTGTATGACTATCTGGCACAACTATACTTTTATTGCCCTGGCATCCCCTACTAGATTATGACCTGCCAGATTATAAATCAATGATTGTCTCATAATCTGCCTTGAATACACACAGTGACTATATTTTATTGATACTAGCTATGAAGCTCAGATACCTGGAAAGTATATTCTGAAATTATGACTTAGAAATTTGACAGAATTGGGCTACAACTCAGATTATTATAAGGTTAAACAACAAGTCATCCCACATGCTCCCAAAATACAAGAAATCAATACAGCATAAATTCTAAATAGACCGACAGAGTATACCCTAGCTCTATCAGCATCGCTCATTTGTTCAGTAAGTCTTTATGAAGTAACTGAGCTGTGCTAAGCACTCTTCTAGTCCCTGAGGATTCAATTATGGGCAAGGCAGACACAAACTCATGCCCTCATGGGGCCTGTAACCCAAGGTGGTTTGCCAGACTATAAATAAGATAAGGAAATAAAATATTGTATGCTATACAGTAATCAGTGTTAAAGAGAAACAATAAGCCAGGGAAGGAAGATAGAAAGTATCAGAGATACGGAAAAAAATTTTAATAATGTAGCCAAAGAAGTTTAAACTGTAAAAGTAAAATTGGGTGAATAACTAAAAGAAGTAAGAGAAGGAGTCATGCAAATAACAAGGGAATGAACACTCCAGGTTAAAAAAAAAAAGTAAATGCTAAGTCCCTGAGGCAGGTTTATGCTTAGTGTGTTGAGAAACAGCAAGGAGGCCAGTGTGACTGCAGTGAAGTAAAAGTGGGGAGAGAGGAAGAAGGGAGGTTTGAGAGCTAGTATGATGATCAAAGCCTTTTTGGACTTTGAAAGGCTTTGGCTTTAACATTGTGTGAGAGTGATTTTCTGGAAGAGTTTTCAATAGGGGAGGGACACACAATGACCAACTTTTCAACAAGAATAAGGGCACAAAGGCAGAACCAAGAAAGCAATTAGGAAACTACTGCAATAATTCAGGTGAGAGAGATGACAGAGGCCTGGATCAGGAAGATGGTAGTATAGGTATTGAGAACTAGTAGGATTCTGAATATATCTTGAAGATAGAGTGAAAGGGTTTGCTGTCAGATCTGACTTGGACTGTGAAGGAAAGAGAAGGATCAATGAGGACACTAAGGCTTTCAGTCTGAGCAAATAAAAGATGGCGCCATGTTGACTGAGGCGGAGAAAACTGTGGAGGAACAGATCTGGGTGGAGATAACCGAAATTCAGTTTTGATACACCAATTTTTAATTCTTGTTAGAAATTCAAGAAGAGATATTTAATAAGCATCTGATATAAGAGGTTGAAATTCTGGAGAGAGGTCTGCATAGGAGATATAAATGGAGGAGGCATCAGTATGTAGATGCTCTTTTTTGTAAAACATAAAACTGGATGAAATCACCTAGGGATTGGAAAGAGAAAAACTAGTTCTGAGACTGAGGTCCGGGGAATTTCAATGTTTAAACTCCCAAAGACCCAGAGACAAGGAAAAACCAGCAAAAGAGACTGAAAAAATTTTTGAACAGAAACCTTATCTTGTAAAGTGTATGTGTGGTGGGGACGGGGATGAAATGTGAAGTATTCAAGTTCTATTAAAGCAAAAATAAAAACAGATATGGCTGTGTTTTCACAAGAAATATTATGAGTGTGTGTGTATGCACGCAGTCGGGAAACATACACAGTGACATTAATGAGATGTCCTCTGGGTGATGGGAATATGCATAATTTTTAATTTCGTCTTTGCTTTTATCTGTGCTTTCTAAGTTTCTGAATTTCTACTAGCAAAGCTATTCGCTATTTGTGATATTTTTTTAAATGTGGGATTGAGGGATCTACTTTCTAAATTTCTGCCCCAGTCTCTCTTATGGTCATCTCCTCTCAATCTGCCCCTCCTTGGAAGTCTGCTAGTCAAGTTAAATTTGGGTCTCCTTTAGGTATTCTGAATATATCTTGAACCCCTTTGCCCCAGTGGTTCTGTTCACGCTGCTTCTTAGCCCTGATATGCTCTTGTTTCATGGCCTTAAGGCAGAGTTTTTAAGAGCATGGGCTTGGAGTCAAGTAGACTCGGGTTTGAATCCTGGCACTGCCATCTGTTGGCTGTGTGCCCTTGATCACTTAGCTTCTCTGAGCCTAACTGGAATGAGAATAGTACCTACCTCAAAGAGTTTTAATGAGGATTGAATGAAGTAATATTTTTCAATAGGCCCTTTATAAAAGCTTCCCAGGTCCCTCACCTTGCAGTATGTGCTGTATTCTAAATGCAAGTGGCATTTTTGTCCATACTTTGTAATGTTATTTATTAAGCTAGTATTATAGCTATTTATACATGTTTTGTCTTCCAAGAGACTTCAAACTCTTTAAGTATTAAATCTGTGCCATACGCAACACCTAGTATTAACAGATATTCAATAAATCCTGCTGAATGAACAAATAAGTAAAGGGAGTTGCCTGCACTTCGCTTTCTGGTCAGTTACTTGATTGAGATGTAAAGATAGTGCCCCCTGCCTCACTGTGGAAAACTGGAAAATGGATATTGAAACTCAAATGGGTCCAGGGGACATCAAAAAGAGAAGTACTGACTGACAAAGTAGGAGGGAGAAACCTTCGGTGTTCCCCATGGTTTTTTGATATATTAAGGAAAATAGCATCATAGAACTAGAAAGAGTCCTACAGATGATTCAGTTTAACTGAGACCCACGGAGAATAAATGATTTTTAGCAGGCCTAGGACCAGAACTGAGAAAATATCGTCTCAAAACCCAGATTTAATCACACCGTGCAACTTGGTGTCTGTTCTTCTACAATTTTCTAAGCATATAACCTTTAATACATAGATTTTTTATTTAAATGGAATATTAGTATGAAATCTACATTGCAATATACTTTTATTCTCTACATAATGTATTATAAATACCTTTTGAGATTAGTTCATTTTGATGATGGGGATAACAATAAGAATAATTAAAATTCACAGAGAGCTTACTATGTTCTAGGCATTGTGCTTAGCGTTTCACACAAAACGTCATTTAACTATCATTTAAAAAAACTGTAAGATAGATCATGTTATGTATATTTTATGCTTGAAGTATCTGGGACTCAGAGAGAGAGAACAGTTTGGCTAAGATTCTAGAGCAAGTGAGTAGCAGAGCCAAGATTCACACTTAGAGCTTCTATTTCTTTTTAACAGTTGCATAGTATTCAATTATATGAGTGCACAAAAATTTATTTAACTACTCCCTATTTTTGGATATTTAGATTGTTTGTAGGTTTTACTGCTATCATCAACAACGTTGCACTTTAATTACTTTTAAAACTATTTATATAGGACAAATGCATGATATTGCTGCCGTGAATCTTCCCACATTTTACAATCTATTAATTTAGATTGTAAAAGGTGGCATTAACTTCACTCTCAGTCCCTTCTCCTTAAGCTTGTCAGTTCTGGCTACCACACAATGTTCTTTCCATAAGAACCTCTCTTGCTTGTATACAAGTTCATGAGTGAGGCCATTTCTCCTTAGATATCTCACCAGGAGGTTCATTCATTCATTTAACAAAAGTCTGGTAGAAAAAAAAAAAGGAGGGGGAATAGTAAAACCATATTATTTTATTTTCAGTGTACGGAGCCTTTTCCCTTTTACTCCTATTTC